CGCCGGTCGGATATATTTTGTTTACCATTATCTACACACACCAATGTTAGTTTGTGTATTTGTGTGTATATGAATGGTAAAAATCGATCTACCCGGTGTACTATAATATAACCATAATTTTAGGTAGCTAACGAAACATCAAAATACAACTCTTATTAAATAAATTGATTCAAGTGGAATTTTTTTAGTTTGTAGTATCAAAATGGTGGGTAAGGGTTTTAATGTGCCATTTACTAATCTCATGGAGTTGCTCTAAAGATTAAAAAAAAAGTAAAAAGAATTCAAATATATATATATATATATATATATATATATATATATATATATACTCCAGATATTCTTGAAACCGTTGGATTATTTCTTAATCAATTTGACTGAATTTCTAATTTTGTTCGGGCCAATCGCTGGTATGGGCTAGCCCAATCATCAATGAGGAGGACTATTAAAAAACATTGGATTCAAACCATTGAATGTATCCAAAAGCCCACGATAACAAAAAGTTGGCTAATGACGAGTAACCAAAAAAATATTAATCATAATAGTTTATCCATAAAAAAACAATTAAAATTGTTAAATACAATTTCGGTACATATTGAATGAGACTTGGCACTTAAAAAAATTACATTTAGAAATAAAAAATAATTCTATTTTTGTTTCAAAATAATTCAGAAACATCGGAATTTTGAAAATTGAAATAAAATAGGTTCTTTCAAAATCACGAACTCCGGAACTTCACTCTTTTATTCATGTATAATCTACTATGACTTATGTAACAAATTTTCCTTGTCCTTCAAAATTGTTACCTGCGTAGTCAGTTTAACGATCAACCTATTTAACTACATACAATATGGCATTTTTTATAATGCATAAAACAACACCTATTTATACATTAGAAAACAATTTTGCATAGTGAAAAAAATATTAGATTTAAATAAATTTTAAGATTGTGTAATTTTTAAAGTATACGGTGATTTTATACCACCGCAATGTAGCTTGATTTGGCTGGGCCTAAGATAGGAGGCCGCACTACATGCGGTCCGTAAGATGAGCCCGCAAGCGAGAAGCCCATCAAGCGAGCTGGCCCATACTGAGGAGCTCGCACATGACAAATCAACAAGCCCATATAGGTGAATAAAGCCCAATGCGATTTCTTGAGAAGTATTACAGGTCCACTTTACATAAGACCTAGTGATGTGATCCTAACTAGCTCCAATACGAAGAATCGGAAGAAGAGAAATCGTGTGAGTTTAATGAAGTTGGTCGTGTTCAGAATGATAAGAATCAACACAAGGGAGTTGATTGAAGAGTCCGTGGTTTGGAATTGGAAGAAAATGAAGAGGGAAATTCGCTGGACAAGTCAAATTTCATGCATCCCGAAAGTCCCGTATGATTCTAGCAGAGTTCACCATTCAGCTTATAACTCTCTCATATGACGTCCAAATAAGGTGATTTAAATTGCTGAGGAAACCTAATTGAAAGTTTTATAGCTTTCATGTTTTGAGCGGAGAGATTTTCAAAGCAGAACAATGTCTTAATCGAGCTTGAAGTCAACACACGTGCACAGGCAAGTGCCTACTCGAGTTATGAAGAGTATTTGTGTCGTCGACTTGATGTTTGGAGTATATATTTTATTGAGTTACATTTTTAATTTAGGATTTATTATGTCAGAGTTCTTAATGGTTAGAATTTTCTAATTTATTAATTTGCTTATTATAGTTTAGGTAGGAGTAATTTTTCTGGTGAAAAATGAGTTTTTTTAGCACTTATAAATAGGTTGTCAATTTGGCTTATTTTAAGAGACGAATGTTGATGAAATTTTTAGATTATTCTCATTTGGTTCTTCAAGAACTTTTTGAACATACCGGAGGATTCTGTGTGTTCACCCCAACTTATCAATCGATCATTCACAATTGATTCTGGCGTTTTCACATATTAAGGTTCTTGCTTCTTTATAAGCAACGGGTCGCGGTTCCACCATTTTGAATCTTTGTTTTTGGATGTTTTTCGATCTTGCTTCCACGTAAGGTATTTGAGTCTCATAACAAGTTTTACGAGATTCGTATCACCTAGCAGAAGCGGCATGACGGCTACTCGCTACAAGCCTAATGAGAGCTTCTTGACATAAATAAAATAGTCATATACAGAAGATCAATTAAGATCTTCGATTGATACTAATTGGAGATTCCCTTGTATATAAAGCTCATAAACTCATATGGAAAGACACGTTTTAAAACAACAACAATAAAAAATACTCTTATACTCTCTTCTAAAACTCTCTCACGTTTATTATTTTCCGCTTGTTACTTCACCATCGCCGGTCCTAGATTGATCCGACGTCCGGTGCACTGTCCAACGGTCTAAAAGGAGTGGGGTTTGGAGTGAGGTTTTGAAGGTGTAGATCCTACACCGTCACACCGCAATGAATACACGTACATTGGCATTTCTCGACGAAACACCCGTTTATCTATGACGATGGTTGTACCGCTTTTTTTCTCCGTCTTATAGACGACTTCTCTTTTTCATCTACATAGTGAACAGGTGAGATAAACCTACAAGTGCGGGAAACTAGAGTGAGAGAATTCAAATCTAGTGAAGCTGGAGATTCTGGGTGAGCGTTAACGAAATTGAGTGGGTAGGTTCTGGATGAAAAAAAAAAGTGACAATAAAAGAAACTGAGCCGTTAATAGAAAGCTAAGCCCCTTCATTTGTTGAGGGGTGTCAATCATAACTTCTTTTTGTGTGTTCCTTCCATTCATATTGTTCTTTTCTTGTTCTTAGTGGAATGATCTGTAAGTCCCTTAATCCTATATATATTTATATTTATACCCATAAATAATATAT